TTACTCCCGCAGGGTACTGTCCCTGCTCCATCAATACGTGCAGGACATTTAACCAAAAGGGGCTATTGTGTACCAACGTGGGCCCAAGAAGGAGCGGACGCGTTTTGTACTACCACGTATTATACAGCACGTCCCGTTGTATAACAAGGCCAACACTATTTGTAATGCCAGCGTGGGCAACAGCTTGGGAATCACGAGACTGATATGGCCGGACGAGATACCGGCCTCACAGGTGCTCGTCCGCTGAAAATCCGCTCTGGGTAGTAGCGGGGCTTAAGTATTTGTGCACATAGAGTATCGGGGCATTGAATCAATCTCCATATTTGCCTTGACAACATAGCAATATTAAACCCATACATGTCTCTGAACCCAAGTTCCCCCTGAGCTTTACAATTAGTGAGTTTCTGCCAGCTGATCCAATGTATAGTGTTTTCCTTCTCCGGCTGGCTCCACCAGTAGGTGCCCATTAGTGAACTCAGCTCTTGGCAGAAACTCTTAGTACCAGCGATACTTAATATGGAACGGATGTTGCTGTACATACAATGTCATGCCCGTGGACGATGCTATTAATGAAGCCGGTGGTGAGCAACTTCCTCTTCTCTTTAGCATGATAATTATCTCTACTGCAACATGGCAATTTTCTGAAGCACATGGCAATTTTCTCTGTCATAGTATGGCATTTTTTGTTCTATAGCTTGGTATTTTTTGCTTGTTTAGCATGACAAATATTTCTATTATAGGATAACAGAACTCTTTGTTTTAACATGACAATTCTTGAATGTTTCTCGGAGTGATTCTTTGAGCAAATGACAAGGAAAATCGGTGTTTGGTCATGTAAGCTTTGTTGAGGAACATCCGTGTGGTGAAACCAGCCCACTAAAGTTTAAAACCTATACTTGGCACTGGTGCCTTTATTTTGCTAAATTTATTTCAGTGTTTTCAGTGATGTTTGTTCAATGGGAGGAGATATTTCCATTGACTACGAGACCTCAATGGTGACTTCGGCAATATCAAGATATTGTGTCGGCTCGATATCTCGGAGATGCTCATAGAGATAAGGTGTGCATGCATGTACTCACAGGGGTGAATGTATATGCGTGTATGTGAGCATATGTGGTTATAATGTGTTACAAAATGTTCATTCTCATAGAATAAACATTAGCTCGCCATTAGGGTCCTTTTCATTTTGTGTGGATTTATACCTAGTTGTCACAGATAATTTCGCTATAATAAAAAGTAAAAAAAAATCTTTTAGTTGGTGGACGTTCGCTGAAGAGGGTGACATTTCGAACAATTTCCGTTGCAATTTTAGTTGTAGGGTGTCATATTTTGAGACTAGCATGACAATTTCATCCTAGAAAACACTTCCGGATTTTTGTTTAAATGTCATCATTTAATCTTGATCAAACGGCTGCGAGGACATTCGTTGGGAGTTACTTAGCAGCGAACATTGACCAGTTAACGGAAAAGAAAAGACTGGTCCGGCGAATGCAGAGCGCAGAGCGGATACGAACCAGGTGAGAGCATCTCCAGCCGTTCGGCCCCCCGGGGCGCCGAAAAATAGCGGCTTGGGGGCGAGCCGGTGCTAGTTCGGCCCCTGGGGTTCGGTTCGTTCCCAGCCGCACGCCCACGGTCACCGCGGGTTCGGCGAAGTTCGTCTTGTTTTTTTAAACTGAGCGACTTTTGCATGAGCTCTACCTTTTTTGTACAAATTTATACAAAAGCGTAAAACATGCATGAACTAACTTAAAAACGGACTTAAAACGCCTAGCTAGTGCCGCCACGGTTGCCACCGCCGCCTTCTACATGTCGAGAAGCCTGTAGAAGCGGGTGTAGTCGCCGCCGCCGTCGTCGTCGTCGTCGCGCGTCTCGCCCGCGGCGTCCCTGCTGCACCCCTTGCCGAGGTCGCCGATAGCGCATGATGGCCCGGCCTCGACCTCGTCGTCGCTGTCGATGACGATAACGCCGCCCTCCTCGGCGCGGCGACGCTCCTCGGTGCGGCGATGAGCCTCGGCGCGGCCGCGGGCCTGGGTCTCCAGGTACGCCTGACGCTGTTGGTGCACCTGCTCGCGGACGTAGTCCTCCCTCGCCCATTTGAGGGTGGACTCGTCGTCAGGTGCCACCATGCCGGCGTGCTCCGGCTTCACGGGGGCCGTGTCCGGCTCGGGCTTCGACCGGACAAGGCGAAGGGAGCACCTCGTCGGAGCCATGGCAGGCGACGGCTCGTTGATGACGAGGGCGCCGCTCCGTGCGCGACGCCCGAGCGGTGTTTCCTCCGGGCGGATGGCCGGCGAGCCGGAGCTCGACGAGGAGGGCGACCCCGCCTCCATTAGCCGCAGTATCCAGGAACTACCGTGGCGACGAGAGGAGGGGCGCGCCGGGTACTCCAGCCGCGGCACATTGCCGGTCTCGATGTGGTCGAGAACGGCATCGAGTGTGCGGCTGGGGACGCCCCACCACTCGCGCCGTCCTTTGGAGTTGAGGCGGCCGCGAGGGATGACGCCGTTGGTGGAGGCAATCTGCTCCTCGCGGCGGGCCTGAAACTACAGCGTCCACAGCGTTTCATTATCGGGCGCGTACCTCGGCCCGTTCCGCTGCTCCTCCATCAGCGACGAGCGTATGCGGGCGATCTCCGCCCGCCGTACGGCTCCTTCGGGGACGGGCGGCACCGGGACGCCGCCGGCGCTCAGCCTCCACGCCCCCGGCACGCGCATGTCGGGCGGCGCCGGGTACTCTGCCTCGTACAAAAGGCGCGCCTCCAGCTCCTGGAGGTGGCGGCGGCCAAAGCCGTTCGCCGCTGCGCCCTCGCCTGGGTATCTCTCGGCCATTTCGTTCGTCGTCTGTGGTAGGCAGTGGGGGAGAGCTCGTCGGCGGGAAGAACTTTCGTGGGAGGGAGAGGGCAAGGGTGTGGTGCTCACCGGCGGGGAGGGGTGCCTTTTATAGCCGGAGCGGGGGTGGCGGTGGGTGGCATGCGGGCGGACGCGTGGCGCATGCGAGCGGACGCGCGTCGGCGGCGTCTTCACTGTGCCGTCCGTGAGCATCAATGGAGGCTGACCGACGCGGTAGCGCGGCAACCTTCGCATTGATTCCCGCAGGAATCGAGGCTATGGAGTCGACGAAGCAGCCGTCTCGCTGGCGCGGCGGGCCCGCGGTTGCTTCGTGCCAAAACGCTCGACCCGGCGCCCCCGAGCGCCACCCGATGCGTCGGGTTCGGCCTAGGTCCGCCGGCGCTGATTTCGGTCCAAGCCGGTGAAAAACGGGCTCCTGGGGGCGCGGCTGGGCCGATTTTTCAGCGCCGGCGAAAAAAATGCATGGGGAGGCCGTTCTGGGGACGCGGCCGGAGATGCTCTGAGCCATCAAAGCTGCTTCCTCATATATACCGTATAATACATAAAGGTAGCCCAGCCCGCAAACCCCAATCCCTCCTCCCCAAGCTCGCGAACGAACATCGTCGCCGCTACCACCCGCATCGCCACCGGCCGCTCCGCGCGACCGGCCACCATGGCTCGTAACGAGGAGAAGGCACAGTCCTTGCTGAACCGCTTCACCATGATGAAGGAGGAGGAGAAGAGCAACCCCGCGAGCGCCGGCCGTACCTCGCCTCCCAGTGCCGGGACCTCGCCAACGCGGACCGCTGGCGTGGCGAGATCCTACGCGAGATCGGCGCCAAGTTGGCCGAGATCCAGAACGAGGGCCTCGGGGAGCACCACCTCTCAGATCTCAACGACCAAATCAACAAGCTTCTCCACGAGCGCGGCCACTGGGAGCGCCTCATCCTCGAGCTCGGAGGCCACGACTACTCTCGGAGCTCCAACGTCGCCCTGATGACCAACCTCGACGGCAACATCATCGCCATCCCCAACCCCTCGGGTCGTGGACCAGGCTACCGCTACTTTGGCGCTGCCAAGAACCTCCCCGGCATCCACGAGCTATTTGACAAGCCACCTGAGGTCCGCAAGCGCGGCACCCGCTACGGGATCCACAAGCGCATCAGTGGCGGGTACTGCGGATACTATTACTATGACGACGAGGACGGCGCGCTTGAACCCCATGAGGCTGCTGCTGAGGGCATCTCCAGCCGCGCCCCCAACAGGCCCTCCCCAGGCGATTTTGTCGTGCCGGCGTCAAAAAAAGGCCTCAGTCGCGCCCCCAGAAGCCCTTTTTCGCCGACTCGGGCCAAAACTGGTGCCGGCGGACCCAGGCCGAACCCGGCGCCCTGGGGGGCGCTTGGGGAGCCGGCACAAGCGAAAAAGGTGCGTGGGCCCGCCCTGGAGGCGACCCGAGGGCCTTTTCCCGCCGTTTCTTGACGCTTTTCC